GTCGTTTTCACACATCAAGGTCCATAGTGTAGACCAGCCCCAAGTCTCACCTATTGGAGACCATCAATTCTTACTCTGTTTTGTTACTGTTCTAATAATTAGTGCTTTAAAATATTTTACCATTTTTGACACTATCGACCAATTGTCAAACATCCAACCCTAACAGTCTTCCAGCAGCAGTTGCACTAAATGCAGTTGAACAGGGCATAGTCACAAGGATTAGTTCTTGGCCCTACACTATTTAATATTTGTATCAATGTCCTAGAAGATAAAATCCTCACTGATAAAGTTTGCAGGTCACACAAAGATTGGAGGAATGGTAAATGCGGAAGAGGTCACTGAGAGAGAGATCAACAACATGCATTTCAGTATAGGTAGATGTGAATCTCTCAGAAAAAAAGAACACAGGCCATACTTACAGGACAGGGGACTGTATCCTGGGAAGCAGGGACTCTGAGAAAGACTCCGAGGTCATAGTGAATAATCAGCTGAACATGGGCTCCCAGTGCAACACTGTGGCCAAAAGGGCTAATGCGATCCTGGGAAACATGAACAAACTTATATTACCTCTGTATTTGGCACTGGCGTGATGCCATTGATGTGTCCAGCTCTGGTGTCCCCAGTTCCAGAAGGATGTTGGTAAATTGGAGAGGGTTCAGAGAAGAACCATGAGAATGAATAAAGGATTAGAAAACCTGCCTTGCTGTGAGAGACTGGAGGAGCCCCATCTAGGACACAAGGGAGATTCGCACACCTGAGACATTCTTTTTAGGAACTGTCCCAGACTGAGGTGTCACTAGAGGAAGTTTTGGAACAAACGGATAAATTAGACAGTAATAAGTCACCAGGCCCAGATGGTGTCACCCAACAGTTCTGAAGGAACTCAAAGATGAAACTGCAAAACTAGTAACTCTGGTATGTGTCCTATTGCTTAAATCAGCCTCTGCACCAGATGACTGGAGGATAGCTAATGTGATGCCAATTTTTAACAAAGGCTCCAGAGGTGATCCTGGCAGTTACAGGCCGGTAAGCCTGACTTCAGTACCAGGCAAATTGGTTGAAACTATACTAAAGAACAGAATTATCAGACAGGTGATGGACACGATATGTTGGGGAAGAGTCAATGTGGCTTTTGTAGGGGGAAATCATGCCTCACCAATCTCTCTGAGGGGGTCAACAAGCACGTGGACAAGGGTGATCCAGTGGATATAGTGTACTTGGACTTTCAGAAAGCCTTTGACAAAGTCTCTCATCCAAGACTTAAGCAGTCATGGGATGAGAAGGAAGATCTTCTCATGGATCAGTAATGGTTAAAAGATAGAAAACAAAGGGTAGGAATAAATTTCACAGTGGAGACAGATAAATAGCAGGGTCCCCCACAATGTTCCCTCTAATTTTTTACATCCATGTGCGGAATTAATTTTGTTATGTGCACCAATATGGAGGTGATGTGTGGTGGGGGTGGGGCCAAGGGGTTCGGAGTGTGAGAGGGGGCTCAGGGCTGGGGCAGAGGGTTGGGGTGCAGGGGGTGAGGGCTCTGGCTGGGGATGAGGGCTCTGTGCTGGCACTAGGGATGAGGGGTTTGGGGTGCAGGCTGCCCCAGGGCTGTGGCAGGGAGAGAGGACTCCCCCCAGCTCTCTCTTGCTGGGGCCAAGGGAGAGGTGCCTCTTCAGCCCAGGCCCTGTGGCTGCGGGCCTGTGCAGGCCTTGATAGCCTGTTGCATGGCCGTGTGGCCACGCAGCTTACAGGGATCTTAGGTCCCTCAAGGATCTGTACTGGGACCTAGTCATAAATGATCTGGAAAAGGGGGTGAGGTGGCAAAGTTTGCAGATGATATAAAACTACTCAAAAAAGCTAAGTCCAAAGCAGATTGCGAAGAGTTACAAAGGGATCTCACAAAACTGGGTGATTGGGCAAGAAAATGGGAGATGAAATTCAATGTTGATAAATGCAAAGTAATGCACATTGGAAAACATTATCCCAACTCTACATATAAAATGATGGGGTCTAAATTGCTGTTACCACTCAAAGAGATCTTGGAGTCTTTATGGATAGTTCTCTGAAAACATCTGCTCAATGTACAGCAGCAGTCAAAAAAGCGAACAGACTGTTAGACTTACCAGTCTGTAATTGCCAGTATCACCTCTAGAGCCCTTTTTAAATATTGGCATTACATTAGCTATCTTCCAGTCATTGGGTACAGAAGCTGATTTAAAGGACAGGTTACAAACCATAGTTAATAGTTCCGCAATTTCACGTTTGAGTTCTTTCAGAACTCTTGGGTGAATGCCATCTGGCCGCGGTGACTTGTTACTGTAAAGTTTATCAATTAATTCCAAAACCTCCTTTAATGACACTTCAATCTGTGACAATTCCTCAGATTTGTCACCTACAAAAGCCGGCTCAGGTTTGGGAATCTCCCTAACATCCTCAGCCGTGAAGACTGAAGCAAAGAATTCATTTAGTTTCTCCGCAACGACTTTATCGTCTTTAAGTGCTCCTTTTGTATCTCGATCATCCAGGGGCCCCACTGGTTGTTTAGCAGACTTCCTGCTTCTGATGTACTTAAACATTTTGTTATTACCTTTTGAGTTTTTGGCTAGGAAGTATTTCTCCACACAACGGACAGTCAACCTGGGGAACTCATTGGCAGGGGATTTTGTAAAGGCCAAAAGTATAACTGGGTTCAAAAAAGAATGAGATAAGTTCATGGAGGACAGGCCTATCAATGACTATTAGTCAAGGCGGCCAGGGATGCAACCCCATGCTCTGGGTGTCCCTAGGCCTTTGACTGCCAGATACTGGGACTGGAGGACAAGGGATGGATCACTCAGTGAATTGCCCTGTTCTGTTAATTCCCTCTGAAGCATCTAGCACTGATCACTGTCAGAGGCAGGATACTGGGCTAGATGGACCATTGGTCTGACCCAGTGTGGCCGTTCTTACAGGGCTTTGGAGCGGAGCCCGGAGCTGGAGCACAGACCAGTAGATTTTTGCCCGGAGCTGGAGCGGAGCCGGAGCGGAGCAATTAAAAAATGTGATTGCTCCAAATCCCTGCGTTCTTATTTACCTTATCAAAGAGAAGGTTAAGAGGTGACTTGATGATAGAGGGCAGGTACCTCTCTGGGGAGATTTCTAATAGGAGAGGGTTCTTCAATCTAGCAGACAAGTGCTAACAAGATCCAATGGCTGGAAGATGAAGCTAGCCACACGCGCAGCAGAAATAAGACGCGCATTGCTAACAGTGAGGGTAATTAACCCCTGGAACAACCTTACCAAGGGCTGTTCTGGATTCTCCAGCACTGCAAGTTTTTAATTAAGACCAGATACCTTTTCTAAAAGATCTGCAATGGCAGCTAATGGACTCTAAGCGGGAATCAGTCCAAGGAAGTCCTATGCTGTGTCACGCAGGGGGCTGACTAGATGATCACAGGGATCCCTTCTGGTCTTAAAATTAAACAAAAAATCCTATGAATCCATGAAAACTCAGGCAAGATGGCAGTGAAGTCAATGGGTCAAGGAAAAATCAGTTTGAACAACTAGCCAGCCCCACAACATCCCCTTCCCTTGAGGGCATCTGCCTCAGCTTGCCAAGATGGATCTCAGCCCTGGAGTTCTTCTAGACTGTTCATCAAACTAGATACCTAACGAGCGACAGATAACCCAACAGCTGCTAAAATGTCTTCTCCCAGCTCTAGCTAGTAACAGACTGAGGGATGTGGGGTTGGCACCACTGGTTCATGCACTGAGGCTGGATTGCTGTGGTGCTCTGTGCCAGGAGGAAATGCAGCTGTGCAAGACCTCCAGCTGGGTCTGCAGACACCAGCTCACCAGTTAAGTGGCATACGTTTAACATAAAGCTCATCACTCCAGGACTCATTGTCAACAGCCTGATCCTCCAAGCCTGCAGTAGATGGGCTTGGACTGCTCCAGAGACGACCTCTCTCCGTGATGGGGCTCCACCAGGACGGTGACGTTCCCCAGGCACAACGGGATTGTTAACACAGTGCTTTTCAACTGCCACCACCCTTCCGCGAGAAATCAGGGACCACAAACCGCCCAGCTGCAGGTCTGTATTTCATCCAGAGCAGGGGTCGGCAACCTTTCAGAAGTAGTGTGCCAAGTCTTCACCTACTCACTTTAACTTAAGGTTTTGCGTGCCGGTTTTTAGAAGGTCTCTCTCTCTAAGTCTATATTATATAACGAAACTACTGTTGTCTGTAAAGTAAACAAGGTTTTCAAAATGTTTAAGAAGCTTCATTTAAAATTAAATTGAAACGCTGATCTTACGCCACCAGCCTGCTCAGCCCGCTGCCGGCCTGGGGTTCCATTCACCTAGTTCGGCAGTGGGCTGAGCGGGGCCTGTGGGACCCCGGCTGGCAAGGGCCCAGCAGCTGGGACCCCAGACCGGGGGTGCAGGTGGGAATGTGTGTGGGGGTGGTGGTGCAGGAGCTCCCGTTTGGTGCTCAGGGTGGGGGGGGAGATGTGGGGGGGGGTGCAAGAGTCAGGGCATGGGGTGTGGGGGGGCTGGGTATGTGTGGGGGGTGCAGGAGTCAGAACAGGGGCTGGAGGCTGCTGGTCGCGTGGAGGCAGGAGCTGTGGCTGGGTGAGCTGGTAGATGTGACAGGGAGGGCAGGGCTAAGAGTCAAAGGGCCCCAGGGCGCGGACAAGGAGCCTGTGCTGGTTGTGTGTGTGTGTGGGGGGGGGGGGGTTAACACATTCTGACAGGCTGGGCCATTACCTCCCTTCTCCTGGGCACTGGGGGTGGTCACCGCATCATCCAGCTTGTGGGCCAGCCGGGACATTCTCCGCAGGGCCACCACGGCGTTGCCTGTTTTCTAGAGAGGAAAGAAGCAGAGAAGGTTCCAATCCCAGCCGGCTGGGAACGAGCCATCACTCCCCTACCCCCACAGGCCCGAGCACAGGCTGGCCCGCACCAGCGCCGAAGGGCAGGAGACCTCTCTGCCCCCAGGGGACAGCGGCCTGGGCAGCCCCGGCTCCATGGCAGGGGGGGAGCTCTCTCCTGAAGCCCCTTTCCCAACCGGGTCATCGCATGGCCCCCGCAGAGCGCGGGGCCACACCCTGTCCAGCTGGCAGAGGGCAGCCCCAGCAGAGCCGGAACCAAAACGCACCTGCCACTTCTGGCGGGCCAGGAATCGCCTCATCCTCTCCTTGGACAGAACCTTCGTCTCGCTCGGCTCAGTCTTCTGCAGCCAGGGGTGCGCGAGGGCCTGGTCGCTGGGCAGCCGGCAGCTGGGGGCGACAGCATGGGGGGGGGTTAGTGCAGCTCAGGAGAGCCGGCACTGACTCGCCGCCCTTTGGAGATGGGCAGCGATCTCCGCAGTGGGCTCCAGGCTCTGTGGCCTGGGAGGAGGTCAAGCCAGTGACAGCTCCACCCTCCCGGGCCCCACTGGCTGGGCTCCAGGCATGGGAAGCAGGACGCTCTGGTCTTGGTGTGAGCTGGGGGGGCCGAAGGGCAAGGGGGTGGCAACACCTGCAGCTTTGTCTCTTTGGCTCCTGCTCCCACAGGCGCGCTGCCCTCCCCAGAGGCCCTACGTGCCTTCTGGGATTTCCGTTTATCCCAGTGTTGCCAACTCTTGATGTTCTGCAGTGACGGATTCCAGGGGGGCCAGAGCCCATCTGGAGATGCTAGGAGACGCTCCAGCCTCTCACAAAGCTCAGCCCTACCAGAAGCCAGCAGAGTCTGTGCCCTCCACTTGCTGCCCCACAAGGAGGGTGGGGAGGGGAGCAAAGAGCCCAGCAGCCCAGTGCGACCCCACACCCCTGGGAGCAATGGGGACAGGACGGTGCCACTGCTGCTCACTCTTGCCCCCAGCCCCTGCCTGGCTAGTGACAGAGCAGGGTGAGGAGCTCCTGGGGCTGCCCCCCAGGTCCTGGAAAGGGGGTGAAGAACAGGAGGAGGAGTAGAGGTGAGGCTGGAGGGTGGGTGGGGGGAGAATGAATTAAAAATTGAAGTGAATTATTTTTAGCTATTGGGACAATTATGAGATTTTATTAAAAACTAACTAATTGATTGCAATTGCTGGATAATGCATACCGGTATGCAGGTGTTATCAAAATGATACAAAGAGAAGAAGGGTTTAAAATTATTTTTGAAATACTTTGATTGTGACTGAATTGATTATTTTAAAAACTAACAACATTTGGGGGTTATAAATATAGTCACTGGACTGAGCTACAGAAAACTCAGAGGTGGTTGGGGTTGTAAAGATATTCTTGCATGGAGGGATCTGGGCCACGCACATAAACCTTGATTGAAAAATACTGGGAGACGGCGATACAGATAGAGAACGCTTTGTGTTTCTCAGGTGTTCACAACATCCTTTCTGGGGAGTCCTCCTCTCTCAGTTATCACAGCCTAAGTCTCACCAATGTTCACACTAAGTCCAGCCTGCTCAAAACTGTGTTGCACTGTTCAAAGTTGGTTTGCAAGGCCTTCCAATCTCCTGCCCATACCTCTAAGTCATCAGCAAATTCCAAGGCTCCCTTCATATAGTCTCACTTATCACATCCAAGACAATGGCAAACAAAGCAGGGCTCAGCGCTGACCCCAGTGCAGGCCAGCATTTTCTGGAAATCTCTACTGTAGTCCCATTCAGTTTTGGCTACAATAGTCACTCCATTGCATGTAGCCTGGACAAGACAAACACATCCTTCCAGCACACTTCTCTGACACTAACTAAACCAAACTAATGCTCTCGGGACATGATCGTACACCTTCTCCAAGCCCACAAAGGCCATCTCTTTTCTCTGAACTTCTCCTTGAGGATTCGTAGACCATATAGAGCATCAATTGTACTCCTTCCCAGCGTAAATCCACACTGACCTTTCCAAATTTCAACTGCTCCACAGAGATGCTTTTCGATATTCTTCTCCCATATTTTCATAGCATATGACATCAGCTTCACTGGGCGATAATTAGCACACAAGATAATATCTCCTGTAGGTTTAAAACTGGGCACCACGGGGATTTTATGCCATTCTTAAGAATATAATTGAATAGACTTGTAAAATACGCTATGCCTTCCCTTCCCCGTGACTTCAGCGCATCCACCCGGACTTCATCATTTTCCCAAGTGCCTCTACAATCTCTTCCTCCTGCTTGCAGTCTATCACACCCCGGTTTGGCTCACATGTTCTTAGTTCCTTCAGTTCTCCTCACTCATCACTCTTTCAAAACAGTCACTCCGGACTTCAGCAACTGATTCACCATTCGTTTGCAACGCACCCCGCTCATTTCTAACAGGAGCAAATTCGTTCACGCTCTCCTTTGATTTCTCTCTTGCCTTAGCGAGTTCGTAGATGGTCTTTTCTCCCTCATGTCCTCCTGGTCAGTTACCCAGCTTGTCATAAGCCACATTTGTAGCCATTAACAGAAGCATTACAAGGATATTGAAATAAGTCTCCTGTCACTTAGGGCTAATCCAAATAAAACAAAGACTTAACCATCTTGCATCAGCTTCGTTCTAATTCTCCTTGAATATATCTGAGCCCTCCAGAATACAGCACGTCTCCAGCTGAGCATGCACGCGCACACACACACGCACACGCACACACAAAGGCGTAGAGGGGAGTTAAAGTCAAGACGGACTAAAACCCATGGCTCGATTATGTTTTTTAAATCATGACTGGTGGGGCCAATCTCAGGATTTTTAAGGTTCTGACTCATGGTCTTTGATGTCTGGAGGTTGCCAATACTGTTATCATTCACACATTCACACAACCTGAGGAATTCTTTGCCAGCGGATGTTGTGAAGGCCAAGACCATAACAGGGTTCAAAAAAGAACTAGATAAGCTCATGGAGGATAGCTCCATCAATGGCTATTAGCCAGGATGGGCAGGGATGGTGTCCCTAGCCTCTGTTTGCCAGAAGCTGGGAATGGGCGACAGGGGATGGGTCACTTGATGATTACCTGTTCTGTTCATTCCCTCTGCGGCACCTGGCACTGGGCCCGGTCGGAAGACAGGATACTGGGCTGGATGGACCTTTGGTCTGACCCAGTGTGGCCGTTCTTATGTTCTTATCCAGTGTCACCCATTCTCCCAGGCATTGGCAAATGCCCCTACTCGCTATCCGGGCTCCCATCCCCACCCAGGCCTTCCCATGCCCTCCCCCAGGGAGGCCTGTCTCCCCATGGAGGGTGTCCCTCCCAACCACCTACTCAGGGCTGGGGGAGGAGGTGTGTGTGTTGGGAAGGGCCAACCTCTCAGTCCCCAGCCACAGCTCCGCACCCAGGGCCGCTCCCCCCATCCCCTTGGAGTGCTCTTTCTCCCCCCGCCCCTGAACACTCTGGGTAGTACCGCTTCTCCCTCCCCCCAACATCAGCTGCTCTACCGGCTGTCTTTCTGCAGTAGCTGGCTGATGAAGTCCTTGGCCTCCTGGGAGATCTCTGAGAAGGTCTCCTCGTCAAACTCCCACTGGGCAGCCATGATGTTGTGCAGCGTCTCCATGTCACTGTTCCCCTGGAAGGGGGAGTCCCCACTCAGCCTGGGGAGCAAGAGAAGAGGCTGTTACTCGCTCAGCCGGGACCTCTGCCCCAAAGGCTGTCAACGGGGAGCAACGTACAGGATGTAGCAGATCACACCGATGCTCCACATGTCCGTGGTGAATCCCACCGGCTCAAAGGCGATCACTTCCGGGGCCATGAACTCCGGGGTGCCGTGCATCACCTTCACGGGGCTCTTTGGATCTGAAGGGGCAAGAGAGGAGCAGTCCAGCACCCCTATCCCTGCAGACCGTGCTTCCCCCAGCAACAGCAAGGGGGCAGCACAGCCTCCCCGTGTCCATGTCTCTGGCATCCCCATTGCAATGCGCTGCGGCAGCAATTATCCACGTGCAGGGGAGCAGCACGGAGCGGCCATACCTGATACTGGAGTCCTGTGCAGGGTGCTGCACAGCGGGAGACAGGCCCTGCCCCAAGAGCTGACAAAGGGCAGGAGGGGAAACAGGACTAGCCCGACACCAGAGTCAGGCGCATTGACTCTGACCGTGCCCAGGGAGCTGGGGACTGCAGCCTACGCCCAAGGGACTGTCCCTCGTCTGAGCCCAGCAGGAGCTGGGAGCTGGTTTGGCGCTCTCCAGTGCCAAGGTGCACGGGCAGAGCCCAGTTCTTTGCATCCTTGGTGGCCTGTAACTGAAATGGAGCTGGAGCTGAATTTGCAATAGAGGTGGGGAATCTACTTGGCATGTTGACAGCACCTTGCTTCTGTGAGTCTCCAGTGCTCTGCAGACATTCAGGACAAAGCCCCCAACTCCCCTGCAAGGGCAATGTCACCACCCTCACGTTACAGACAGGGAGACGAAGCACAGAGGGGCTGGGAATAGACCCCGGGTCCCCCGAGCGCCAGCCCACTGCTCTGCCCAGTGTCTTCACTCTACAAAAGTGGGCAGGAAACATTGCAGGAAAGTCCCTGTAGCGCCAAACGCCCCAGCACCAGCCTCCTTGGGGGTTTCAGCTTCCACCCAGAGCCAGGGAGGTGCACTGCAAAGCCACAGTCACAGAAGCAAGCCCAGGCTCAACGCGGATTGGGCGAGCCCTTGCCATAGCTGGGGGGCCAATTTGCCAGGACGCTGGACACTGGCAGCTCCCACTGACTTCAGCTGCCCCCAGAGCCAGGCCCCAGGGGTGTCAAGGGGGATGCCCAATGTGGCAGGTTTGGTTGCAGTTTTGGGCAAAGGGTCAGGCTGGTTATTTCCTGGGACCCCCCTGCCCACCCCTGTTCCTGACACACGGGGAAGTCTCCGCTTTGCTGAATAGGGACGGACTCAGGAACATAAGGTTAAGCACGTGCAGCAGCGCTTTGCTGAATCAGGGCCTCTCCCCCGTGGAGGCGGCATTAGCTCCGGGACAGCGAGAGGGGAGATCCCAGGACAGGGCTGCGCAGCCGGGCCCCTCTCGCTCACCCAGTCTCCGTGCCAGGCCGAAGTCGATGATTTTGACCCAGTGGCTGCTCGTGCTGACGCAGATGATGTTCTCGGGTTTGAGGTCCAGGTGGACGATGCTCTGGCGATGGACGTACTGGATCCCCTCCAGGATCTGCCTCATGTACTGAATGCTGGTGGGCTCCGTGTGCTCGAAGTCGTCATCCACAATCCTCTCAAAGAGCTCCCCGCCCGCGACGCTGCCAGGAGCAGAGGGGCAGCCTGTCCTAGGAATTCGCTCCGAGGGCCAGCTCTATCTTGCACCCACGGCAGTGCCGGCCCAGACCCCGCTACCCAGGCACTAAACTCAACTAACAGGTACACGGAGAAGCCCCTTGGACACAGTGTCCTGGGGGCAGGGAGCAAAGACACCCAACCAAGTCAAATCCGGAAACCTGTGTGAACAGCCCTTCCCGACCCCGATCCCTCTCTTCCCGCTAGGGGCTGGAGGCTGCAGCCCTGGGCACTGGCCCATCTGGAAATCCCACGCCTTGCTATCCCTTCTGGATGGCGAAGGTCTCAGGCAGGAAGAGGCCAGGGGTTCTGCTAGAGCCTGGATTCGCACCACCCACTCCTAATGCCAGAAAGCGGGGCGGGGGGCTCAGCAGACACTGCCCACTTCTAGGCTCAGCCTCCCATTCAACTCTGATCGATCGTCTGCGAGTCGCCCCCGGGCACACACACCCCAGAACACGCGGAGCCCAGGGCAGCAGGGCCGGAGCCTGCGCAGGTGGGACGTCTGCTATCCCCTTCGAGGTGCAGCCAGGAACACCTGTGCACAGAGCAGTGCCCTTTGCCCCCTCCATGCACCTGGCAGCGAGTGAGTCGGCTGAGGCTGCTCTACTCAGACCCCTGCTCCCAACCCCTGTACCTGCCCAGCAAGCCCCACTCACTATTCCATCACCATCACCAGCTCCGCCCGGCTCTGGAAGGCCGCAAGGCACTGCACCAGCCTGGGGTGATGCAGCAGGTTCATCAGCTCCACCTCCCTGCAGGCTGCCTCCCGCTCCTTGGGTGTCCGCGTCCGGAAGTATTTCCCTGCCCGGATCTTCCCAGTGGCCTTCTCCTGCAGCTTGTAAACCAGCCCGAACTTCCCACTGGGAGAGACCAGAGGGGGGATTGTCTCCTGCTTCCCGCCCAGCAAGGCAGCTTGCATTTCCAGCCCCTGGCCTGCTGGGGCAGCAGCTCACAGCGGGAATGGGGAGCTCCAGGCCAGCTCCTGGGTGTATCCCAGCATCACCAGGATTTGAACTCGACAGCTGGGGATCCCCAGGGAGAACTGGACAGAACAGCTAGTACCAGGGCCGGCTCCAGGCACCAGCGCAGCAAGCGCCTGCCTGGGGCGGCAAGCTGCAGGGGGCGGCCTCTCTGTCGCTGTGAGGGCGGCAGTGAGGCCACCTTCGGCCGCGTGCCTGTGGGAGGTCCGCCGGTCCTGCGGTAATTCGGCGGCAGAGACGCCGAAGGCGCGGCATCGGTGGACCTCCCGCAGGCACGCGGCCGAAAGCCACCTGACTGCCGTGCGTGGGGCGGCAAAAGCCATAGAGTCGCCCCGGCTAGTACAGCTGGCAGACAGCGACAATGAACATCTATTGTCAGCTCTTTGGGGCAGGGACTGGCTTTTCATTCAGCACGCAGGGGCCTGGGCCAGGACAGGGTCTCCTAGGCTCTATGGCAGTGGTGCCCAAACGGTGGGGTGTGGAGTAATGTTCAGGGGGTGCAGCAGGGCCTGGACCAGCCCCCATGGGGAGCAGAGAGGAAGTGTCACCCAGCTCTGCCCCCAGCCCAGCTCCAGCCCCACTCCCAGCTGTGGCCCCGGTTCCCGGCCACGGTTCTGCTTCCAGCCCCACCTCTGTCCCCACCCCCACCTGCGGCCCTGACCTCAGTCCCTGGCTCCTGGCCTGGCTGCGGCTCTGCTCCTGGTCCCAGCCCCAGCCCCGCCTTGGCCCCCAACCCCAACCACAGCTCTGCTCCCAGCCCCACCCCCAGCTGCGGTTCGGGGTGGGCCTTGGCCCCTGGATCCCAGCCCGGCTGCGGCTCCAGCCCCAACCATGGCCCTGGTCCCAGGGGTGGGGTGGGGGGGTGGGGAAGAGAGACAGCGGGAAGGGGGGGTGAGGTAAAAAAAAGTCTGGGGACTCCTGCGCCATGGTAATGCAACAATAATACAGCTCCTGGGAGGACTTGCTCCAGTGGCTCAGACATCGGGTCCACACAGGCCTGGATCCCACCTCTGGCTTGAGGCTTCAGAGGAAGGTGACCCACGTCCTGGTTTTGCGCAAAGAGCATCTGTTTTCTGTGGGAAATACTGATTTGCATCAAAAGCCCAAACTCTGGAAAACCAAAAGATTTTGCTTTGGAAATGCTGCCACAGCACCTCTATGGCAGTGGTTCTAAACCGGGGGTCCGGGTAGGGCCGTCCTTAGGGTTTATGGGGCCCTACGCAGTCATATTAAACTGGTGCCCCTACGCCGGCGCATTCGGCTCTGTGAATACGGCCCCTGCCTTCTGTCTAGTAAGGAGGCTGCAGCGCGCTGGGTGTGCGGGAGCCGACCCGCTCTTACCTGCTGGAGCGCCCACGGCACCAAGCTCCCCACCTCTGCCCCCCTCCCCCCGTGCCTCTTGCGCCGGCGGCCCTGCGCTTACCAACTCCTCCCCCTCCCTCCCAGCGCTTCCGGAGGGAAGGGGAGGAGCGGGGATGGGGTGCACTCAGGGGAGGGGGCGGGGCGGGGGTTTGGGGGAAGGGGTGGAGTGGGGACAGGGCCTGGAGCGGAGGCAGGGGCATCAAACACCCCCTGGCAAGATGAGAAGTTGGCGCCTCTGGTCCCGGTGGTGCCCCAAATTTTCGGGTGCCCTAAGAAGCAATGCATGGTGCGTATGCCTAAGGACGGCCCTGCAGCCAATCATGACAAACCAAGGAAATACAGGAAAACGGGGCCCGAGGCCAGGAGCTTCCGCTCTCCCATGCAGCCAGAAAAAGCCTGGTCATTTACATCGACACCTTCCTGTCCCCCAGCCAGCTCGGCCCATCACCGGAGCCTCTGAGCACCTGCACGGCTTTACAGACTAGCTGTATTAGTGCTCAGAGGCCTGGTTGTGCCAGGTGCTGCACAGACACAGTGAAGACAGCCTCTGCCCAGAGAGTTTGTAACATGACCGGCCAAGGGGTGGAAGGGAAAACAGCGAGACAGAGAAGGGAAGTGACTTGCCTGAGGTCACCCAGGGGGTCAAGGACAGGACCGGGAAGAGAACCCAGGTCTCCTGACGCCCAGCCCTGCAGCCTCTCCATTACACTCTGCCATAAACACACACAGAACCAGAACAGGGAGCGCCCCCTCCCCGAGACATCTCTGCTGCGCAAGCCAGAGCCCCAGGGCATCTCTGGGGACAAGACTGCAGAGTCTGGTTGTTGCAGATGAACCCCACCATCGACTTACGCCCCGAGTTTCTCGAGCTGGGTGTACAGGTCCGAAGCCTTCGCCACGGTGTTTATTGTAACGTCCTGGTATTCAAGCGCCTCCTTGTTTCTCCCACCTGCAGGGAGAGAGACAGGGCAGTGCGGGCGACGAGCAGCTGAGCGACACATTAGCGAGGATCCCAGCCTGATACACGGGAGTCCTGCTCCGACTGCCCTTCCCTCGTGCATCCCTTTCTGTCCTCCACTATCCTCTCTTGTCCTCTCTCTCCCAGCTGTTCATCTGGTCCTGAGACCAGCTGCGCCCGACAACACCAGCAGGATGGGAGGAGACAGCCCATCCAGCTTTGTCCTGCCTGAGCAGGACTAATGCAGGAAAAGGGACCTGCCCAGACCAGCAGATATTGTCTCAGACTGGGGAAGGGAGCCAGGGTTCAGAGCTACAGCTGTCATGCTAGCCCAGAGCATCCGTCTCAGACTGACCTGCTGCTTTGGACCCCGAAAACTTCTGTATTTCTCCCAACTTCTCTCTTCTCCCCCTTTGCCTTCCTGCTTTTGACAAGACAACGTAACCACCAATCACAGCGATCCACTCGCAATTCAACAGCAGAACTAGCCCTTTCCTTCCCAGGGCTGTCTGGAAGCATAAGAGGCTCTATCCAATATCCTCTTTCTGGAGCAGGGTGTGACGAAGTGGAAATGTTCTGTAATATTTTGATGATTCCTAGGTGTGCCTCAGTTTCCCTCTGTACTTTGCTACCCAGTGGTGGTGAAAGGGTTAAAAAGCTGCGCAGGAAACATGTGGGGGTGGGGTGCCAGGTAACTGTCTGGGGTGGGATGAAGGGGTCGTTAAAGGACTGGCTGAAACTGACCCATATCAGTGGAGGGTCCACAAAGACCATGGCAGCCCGAACAACTGAGAAATCGACACTTATCCCGGGGAATCTCCGGCAGGTGGAGCATGGGAACCCAGCAAGGGTGTGCAGGAGCTGGACAATGGACCGAAAGGTGTCGGGTGACTGGACTACGGGTGAGTTCTTGGGAGAGACGTGGCAGAGAGAGACGGAGAGCCAGAGCCAAAGGGGTACCAAGGCAGCTTGGCTGGGTGCAGCACCCAGACTCGTCTGATCCTTTGCTGCTCTGTGCTGACCCCAGGATGTCCCGATGCTGCATCCAGCTGACTGACAAACCCTGCTCTGTTCTGAAAAGGCTGCCGGGCCTCACTGCAAACACTTGCCGAGGGGCTCTGGTCCCTGAAGAGCCTAAACGTCTGTGACCAGGAGGCTGTCTCACTCGCTGGGCAGAGGCTCAGCCTTGGAGGTGTGGCCTTAGGGAAGAGCGGGATCCCTTGGGTGACTGGCACACTGAAGGGGCTGCTCCAAAGGACGGATTAAAGCTGGAGAGCAGCACAGATCCTGGGGCTCTGGGACAGAGGGACTTAGAGGAGTTTGGATTAAGCTGGTTTTGCAGAACCATTCGATTTCACCTTCAAATGCTTTAGTCAGTCAGTCAGTCAGTCAGTCTCTCTCTCCCTAACCAACCATGTCCAGACATGGGCAGGAAGTGTCTGGTATGTTTGCCATGGGACTCTGTACCACAAGGTCTCTGTACTCAAACCAAAGCCCAACCCATGTTTAACTGGTTGGTGTTGTGCAGTGTGGACGTGGTCACGTTAACACCTTTGACTCTCTGGGACCAGTTATTCCATCCAACAGAGACTAGGTTGGGTTTGTGTGGGGCATGGTCTAAATCCTGGGTCACGAGCACGTGGAGGCTGAGGCTGGAACCGTGTCTGTGCAGTCCGTACAGCACCTAGCACAACCCGGGTCCCTAGGCACTGCGGCAACACGAGAAACAGGGTGGGACGGAGCTGGAGGGGAGTGAGAGGATGAGGGTGACCATGGAGACAGGGGAGATCCAGGGAGAAGGAGGAGATGGGGGCAGGGAGACAAGAAACCTTATCGGTGCCATGGGAGAGGGAGGGCAGGGAGCCAGCACTGCTCACCAGGAGTCACAGGCCCTACACCCCACACAGTTTGGGGCAATTCTCCGTTAGCTCAGGGGGCCCGGGACGTTTGGTTTCCACTGGCTCAGCACGTGCTCCATTGCGACAGCTCTGGCATCCCCATGCACCCACAGATTTGTTACGTTCAAACCAGAGTTGATTTAGTTCCAATCCTGTTACACTTTGCAAAATAAACTCTAAATGCTGGGCTCGAGCACCCCTGGCTGGGCAGAGCCCCCAGATCTGGGTCTGGCTTTGCCTGCCCATCAGGCAAATAGCTAACGACCTCCCCTTGTCAAAGGCGTCACAGCTGCTTGAAGGGTTTGTAAGTTCATTTCCCCAGTGGAAGCGGTGGTGGCTGCCCCAGGCAGTGGCAGAGGACAGGGTGGGAGGGAAGCACCCCACTGCACTGAAAGGTGTCAGCCCGGACATTCAGCACCTTACCTTCTCCTTGGGACATCCTGCCCACTCCTGGCTGGGGCCGCTGAGCCCGTAGGCGCTGGCGGGTCAGACCTGGCACCAGTTCTCCCCTCGCGGCTCCACACAGCTCTGCAAGTCCTGGTCAGCGTGCGCCACTCCCACGTCCTGACTCGCTGGGCTTCCACCAGGTAGTCTGGACCGCACTCCCTGTCGTACCACGGGCCAGCCCAGGACAGGCTGAGTGGCTGGACGGACAGTGGGGATGCAGAGAGCTTCCCGGCTGGTGGCTTGGACGGCCTGAAACCCACAGGGGAAGGAAGGAGGATGTTACTGGAACAGGACAGGAAGGCTGGGCCTAACAGACAGAACATGGAGGGATACGGGCTCTGCCACCTCCTGCCCATCCCCACCCAGGAGGCCGGGGTCCCAGGTATGTGGGGCTCTCTCGTCCACCCTCTGCAGCTTGGCAAGGAGTCATGATGTGAAATACATACATTGGGGGGCTGGCTGTCATACGGCCGTCCCTTCTGAGGGGACCCCTGCAAGAGGGACACACACAGCCTGGCTCCCCGTGCCCCAGCACCTTGTGCCATCAGCCACCCCCTGCAAAGTGACAGCAGCGCCTCACGCCCACACTGCACAGGGGAGTGATGGCACCAGGTGCCGGGCAGCAGAGAATCAGCTTTTGTGGGGAGCAGAACTCCCCGAGAACAGCCTGACCCCTTCCCTCGTCCCCTAGGCAGGCACTTCAGGCTCCAGGGCCCCTGCCAGCTGGGACTGGTTGCCCAGAGTGGCCTATGGGGCTACCTGCTGTGACCAGGGTGTCCCCTGGAACCCAGCCTCGGCCCTTCCCAGGGTAAGGTGTGTGAGCGGGACCCTTGTGGGAAATCTGTGAGGAGCTGTGCAGAACAGGACAGGACAGCCAGCCGCAGGGAGCACAGTGCCCCTGAGTGGGCGAGCAGCGTGCCATTGGTTAGCACGCGCTCCGCTCGCTGCACGGCACCGGCAGAGCCCCGCACCCGTCTCTGCTCCTTTACAATGTACAAAGAAGGCTGGGAAGTTCATTTAAACTCTTCCCCTCACCCGTTAGAAATTCAGGTCTTGTCTGCTCCGGAAGACCCCTATGGGCAACTAGAGAACTGGCAGGACCGTGACATTTCGGATACCAAAGATGCGACACGTTTTGAGATGAGAAGCAATTTTAACAACACCTATTTCTCCCCAATCTCTTCAAGCTCATCATCAGAAGCAAACTCCCCACAGACCAGGACACACCAACTCAAAGCGGCACCAGACCCGGCCAGAACAACAGAGGCCAAACCTGCAGCCATATCTCCACAGCTACAATGATCAGCCCCTGCCCCCCGCCCCCCCCCCACCCCTTTCATGATCCTACTCATGTGCTGTACCTCATCCAGTGCACTAAATGCCCCAGTGACAACTACGTGGGTGAAACCAGACAAGCACGACCCTCTGGAATGAACTCACACGGGAAAACAATAAAAACCAAAAACACCCTAGCACCTGTGGGTGGACACTTTTCACAAAGCGATCACTCATCCTCAAAGGAAACCTGCACAACCCTTTCACTGTAGACACTGAAACCACCGGACTGAACAGAGACACTGCATGAAAAACACTCCTTGTTCAGAATCACCTGCTCTTCCAACTAAGGACTAAGGGAACTTCCAGGCCCCACCTCGGCGCCTCCAGAGTCCTCTGCCAGCACCATATTGCTCAGGTATTAAAGAAGAAGAAGCAAAATAGCAAAACTTCTAGCAAAAGCCAGACTCCTTCCAGGCCTCCCTGCACCAGAGAGAAGCCAGCAAGGGCACATCCCCTTTCTGGAGGCCAACCTTAACCCACTCCCCAGAGCAATGCCGTAGCCTCACAATCAATGAGGGGGTCTCTTCTCAAGGCCAGCCCAGGACAGGTGGAGCTCCGGAAGAGCAGCCACAACCCTGGCACCTGCCCACGACAGCGAGGCCGATCGGAGGGTGTTCGCGCCCCACCCTGTCCTGCACAAACAGCCTGTGGCAGCCGGAGCCGGCCGCACGCGTGTCCCGGATCACCAGCGTGCTGCCTGTCTCTGTGGTGTCCAGCGGGGAGCTGGAGTCACTGGTGATCAGTCAAAAACGAAGAAGAACAAGGGGTGGGGGGCTCAGTGCCAGGGCAGCCACATCAGCCACCAGCACTGATGCAACCGGCAGTGGGCCCCTTCTTGGCAGGACAGGCACAGACAGCAACCAGGCTCCTCTTAGCTCGAGAGCTGGTTCATCTGCTGAGCTCCATTGGCAGGGGCAGCACGACTTTCCCCAGGACTGCCACTCCCCCGCTTCATCTAGCGACAGTCAGTAGAGATTGTGCCTGGGTCTCTCTGGCGCTAGGAAGCAGCAATCCACAGAGACTCCTGCAGCTCTCCTCTCTGCCACCCCCCCAGGCCAGGGAGCCAGCGGCTGATAGCACGTTTCCGCTGGTCCCCTTCTGTGCATAGGAGCTCGGCCCAGTCAGGCTGATGTCCCCGCCTCCCAGACAGCATGTGCCACTCACCAGGGCAGGGGTTGGCGACACAGCCCTGCTGCCAGGAGGACACCTGCACTGGGGAAGGAGAGGCAGGGACAATGGGATGCAGTCAGGAACCACATATCCCTGCGACGCTGCTGCTGGCTCCCATCCCAGGGGGGGCCCTGGACAGTCAAGAGCCCTGTACGAGCCTGGCTTGCCCTGAGGGCTGGAGAGCCTGGGGCTGAGCCCCACCCAGGGGGAATCAGGCACTGCCCCATGAAGGGCAGACGGTGGCTGCAGTAAAGTGGGAGGGCCAGGCTCAAGTGGTGACCAAGTCTGGCTGGGAAAAGCCCCAAGCAGGGATAGTGTGGAAATCTCTCCAAGCAGGGAGGCTGGGAGAGAGCCTGACTAAGCAGGGACGAGATAGAGAGGGTGGGAGCTTAGGCTGTAAGGGGGCAGCCCAAGAAGCCTCAGGGTTGGAAATGGCCCAGGACAAAGCACAACTCAGGCCAAGGAGCAGACCTGGCTGTTCAGTGCAGGGCTCTGGCCTGGAACCCAGCGCAGAGGGTGGGGCTGGGTTCCCCTCCTGGCTCCAGGGAAGGGGGGGTACAAGCCCAGTGCAGGGACTATTGGGCCCAGTGGGGGTGCTGCAGGCTGAGGGAGGGGCCCAGAGAACATGGAAGGATTTTCTTTGTGTTCAAGGCATTTAGGGACTTCTAGTTTGCACAGTCGTGACCCCGGAGTGGGTAGACTTAAGAGGGTGACGCCCGACCCTAGAGCCAAGTTACTGGGAGAGATACTGCCAGAGTGCTGGAGCCCGTCAGCAGGGGGCGCTAGACAAGCCAAGAGAGCTGCCACGGGGTGAGTGAACTGGTTCACAAGCCCCCATGGAGCAAGGGAGCAGGGGTGCAGTCCTGTAAAGTGTCGGGGCCTCAGAACCTTGCACGATCCCCCCCAGGCCAGGATACCAGGTGCCGGGGCAGTCCTAGGCTGACCTAGCTCCATCCCAGTCCATGATCCTGGGTTCCTCCCCTCAGCACAGAGACAGCCCTTCATCGCTGCTGCTCTGGGTAACCAGACGCCTGCCCAGAACACGCGGCACAACATGCACAGTGAGCAGCCAGCCGTACGTGCAATGCTTAGACACCACTCATCCCGTTCGGCAGGAAGAGGCCGAGGTGAGATACCAGCGATGGGGGTTACCACGGCAGCCCAGTCATCCTTGTTAAAGGAAATACCTCAGTTGTGCCCCTGAGGCCTAAGCACCAAACCCCCCTAGCAGTACCTCTGGCTGGGTCGTCTATGGGACTAAACCCAGGACCGTGACCCTCTGTGCTGCTTGACCGAAAGGAGCAGGCTCATAACGCTTTTTGTTTCTCCCCACTAGAGGGGATGAGAGCTGGGCTGCCTCGGCCCGGGGTGCACAGGGAGAAGCAGGGCACGTTGCAGGAGAGCGGCTGATCACGCCCAGCAGGGACTCCAGCACTGAGTGTTGGCTGGGGGGCAGCAGCAGACAAGCCCCCGAGGACTGTCCCCACCTACCCCCGCAGTGCGGATCCCACGCTGTGGCCATTCTGTCTGGATCCAAACACCAGCAACTGCTGGACCTGTCAAATCTGGCTCCAAACTCTGTGCCTGGGGTCCCAGCTCTGATCACCCCCCTCCTCCCCCCCCCACACACACACTCCACTGGGCCCCTGCCCCACACATGCCAGAGCAGAGCAGAGTAGCTGCTGGTACTGGGGAAACGCAGCTCACCTGTCTCCTCTCTCACCCAGGAGGCAGCAATGGGTGGGGTTCTCACAATGCCCCCCTCCCCCCCGTGGGGGCCAGCAGTCTCAGGCGATCACCTGGAACAAGCCACAGCGATGTCTGCTAGCCCCCCTCAAGCTCCCTCCGCTACAGCAAGTCCCTGCACTCAGGGAGGGTGGGAAGCTTCTCCAAAAGCTGAGTGGGGCTTGGGATGATGGGTTTGGGGTGCAGGAGGGAGCTCCAGGCTGGGGGTGGGGCCAAGGGGTTCAGAGTGTGGGAAGGGGCTTCAGGCTGGAACAGGGGGTTGGGGTGCAGGAGGGGGTAGGGACTCTGGGCTTGGGGGTGTGGGCTTTGCGGTGGGGCCAGGGATGAGGGGCTTGGGGTGCTGGAGGAGCTCAGGACTGGGGCAGGGGGTGGGAGGAGGTGCTGGGTGCGGGCTCCAGAGGGAGTTTGGGTGTGGGAGGGGGCTCAGGGCTGGGGCAGGGGGTTGGGTTGTGGGAGGGGGTGCAGGGTGCAGGCTTTGGGAGGGGGTTGGGATGTGGGAGGTGCGGGCTCCGGGTGGTGCTGACCTCAGGCGGCTCCCAGGAAGTGGCTGACATGTCCCCCCTCTGGCTCCTAGGCGGAGGCGTGGCCAGGAGGCTCTGTGCGCTGCCCCTGCCCCTGCAGATCCCATTGGCCGCTGTTCCCACGGGCGGGGGGCTGAATAGGACACCCAAATGGCTAGGGATGGCCCTGCACCTGGCAACCCTACTATGCCCCCACTTCCCTAGGAAGGTGCACCCCACAGTTTGGGGACCACAGCAGTAAGGATACTGACCTCCCCCCCATAAAGCACTTTGGGATCTGTGGATGAAGCACTCTGTGTAAGAGGGAGCAAACTGGGGCCTGACCCTCTTTGGGCATTATGACGAAGTGGGACTGTTCTTAATGTTTCCTCTGAATACTGTGGGGGTGCCTCAGTTTCCCCTATGCATTTCTTAAGTCGCTAGGTGGTGGGATAAGGGGGTGTAATTGTTGCAGAGCAAAG